TTTCTAGACCAGGGGGCCCCCCACTGTACCCTTTCTTCTCCCTGGGGGCCCCCCAGCTGCCTCAGCGTTTCAATATTTTTGCTGCAATTTAATTTATATTTAATCAACTCGATCAACAAAAACTCCAACTGAGATCCAGTACCCCAAACCAACAGGGGGGCCCCCCCGGGGCCCCCCTGTTTATGTAGGGGGCCCCCATGGGGGCCCCCATAGAGAAGGGGCCCCCCTGGGGGCCCCCATACAGTAGAGGGGCCCCTGGGGGCCCCCATGACGGTGACCCCTTGGGGGCCCCCATGTAGGAGGGGGCCCCGTGGGGGCCCCTCAAGAGTGCCCACGACCGTGGGGCCCCCCTTGGGGGCCCCCATCAAGGGGCCCTCCTTGGGGGTCCCCATCAAGGGGCCCCCTTGGGGGCTCCCATGCTGGGGGGTCCCCAAGGGGGCCCCCAAGCCCTGATGGGGGCCCCAAGGAGGAGGGAGGAGGTGGGAGTATGATGATGAAATGCAGGTTTGGGGTGTATGTACACCTGAAGGGAGACAGATCAATTGTATATCTTTTATATTGCTGCTGCTGCTGCTGCTGTAGTTGCTGCTGCTGCTGCTGCAGTTGCTGCTGCACTCAGCAGCACCAGCGCAGTTGCTGCCTCTGTTGTCTTTCGTTTCCTTCTATAGCAACAAGGTGGGGGGCCCCCCAGCTGCAGCAGCGGGGGGCCCCCTAACTACCACCAGCAACAGGGGGCCCCCCAGCTGCAGCAGCGCGGAGCCCCCTAGCAGCCACCAGCAACAGGGGGGCCCCCAGCAGCAGCTTTGTTTATTTATTTTATTTATATCCTTTAGTTGTTTCTCTTACTTTTTGTGCTGTACTCAACTCGTTTTATTTTTTATTTATTTATTTTCTATTTTTTATTTACTTATTTATTATTTATTTATTTATTTATTTATTTATTTTCTTTGTATATTTTATTTATTTATATTACACTACTAATTAATTTAATTATTTATTTTTTTTGTTTGTTTTTTGTTTCTATAGATATCAAAGAAGCT